GTCCTTCTCTTCATTAAACTAGACCAGGCATGTCAAACTCACATCACGTGACATCACACGACATATCGTCACTTTTTCCCCATCGCCGGCAATGGGGTGGGCACGGTTTCGGCATGATGCATCCGGCCTGTAGGCCGGCAGTTTGACATGCCTGAACTAGACATACCCAATTCCAGCAACCGTTCCTTATACGGTTTTAGCCTCTAGTACCCTAATCATCTTTGTTGCTCTTCTCTGTACTCTTTCTAGAGTCTCAACATCTTTTTTACATCGTGGTGACCAAAACTGGATGTAGTATTCCAAGTGTGGCCTTACCAAAGCATTGTAAAGCGGCATTAACACTTCACGTGATCTTGATTCTGTCCCTGTTAATGCAGCCTAGTGCTGTGTTGGCTTTTTTGGCACCTGCAGCACACTGCTGGCTCATATTTAAGTGATTATCCACTAGGACTCCAAGATCCCTCTCACAGTTGCTAATATTGAGCAAGATACCACCTATACCAGGGGTCGGCAACCTGCAACAGTGAAAGAGCCACTTGGACCTGTTTCCCTTGCAAAAGAAAAAACTGGGAGCCGCAAAATGTATGCGCGCATGTGGAGCTTAAGGCGAGACGTGCGCCGGCCCTGCCCCCCATCCAGCTCTGGTATGGAGGGTCTGCCATCCTGGCTTCTCCTCCCTTCGGAAAAGACTGCTCTCCCCCCGCCCCGCGCTCCCCCTCTCTGGGACTTTCTTCTTTCTGCCTTTTGGCGCGAAGGTTCCAAGGGAGCAGAGGCCAACGGGGAGAAAGAGCTGCTGCGGTGAATCTTCCGAGGCGGAAGCAGACGGCTGCTCGACGGCCGCTCGGGCTCGCCTATCTCAGCCTGCTGCGGGAGGCTGGAGTTGAGGCTTCTGGCTCGCTTTGGGAGGGGTGCTCGGAAAAGAGAGGATGGGAAGCGGAAAGTGGGAGAAAGGACGTCTTCCAACTCTCTGGGGTTTTTTCGCTGGGAGGGCGAGGAAGCAGCAGTTCTGCTCCGTGGGAGGTGGGAGCAGACGGCCTCTCCTTCAAACTTTGCCAAGTGACTCCAGGGACGAAGCGAGCTCCGAGTCCCCGGAATGTCAACTTTGCGAAAGAGGGAGGCGATGATGGGATTAAAATAAAATGGGGGGGGGAGGTTGAAGAAACCCAGCAGATGCTTACATCAGAAGGCCAGCAAGAAAGGCAAGACCAGGGAGAGGAAGAAAGCTTTCAGGGCTTGTGCACAGACAAAGCTGACTCCTCCTCATCTCCTGTCCTTGCTGCATCTCTCTGTGTCTCTGCCACTCAAAGCTATCCTGCAGCTCGATTCTTGAAGCGATTTCAATCAGCCCCTTCATTGCCAAGAGTCCCCATGGAAGTCAATGGAGGTCTGCGGCGACTCAAAAACCCAGCCGCAGCACCTCCAAGTCCGTTGATTTTACCGGCTCAGCGGCCGGGGACGGGCAGGAACCAATGCCCCCGCCGCCTGCCACTCAGCCCAGGAAGACGTGAGGCCGGCTCAGCGGCCCGGGGATGGCCAGAAACCAATGCCCCCGCCACCTGCCACTCAGCCCAGGAAGACGCGAGGCCGGCTCAGTGGCCCGGTGACGGCTAGAAACCAATGCCCCCGCCGCCTGCCACCCAGCCCGGGGAGACACGAGGCCAGCTCAGCGGCCCGGGGAGGGGCAAAAACTGATGCCCCTACCGGCTGCTGCCCCGCCAGGCCTACTGCCCAACCTGGGGAGGGGCAGGAACCAATGCCCCTGCCGGCCCCGCCAGGCCTGCCACCCAGCCTGGGAAAACACAAGGCCAGCTCGGCTGTCCCTCCACCTGGTGCAGGTAAGCCACCTCCCTTCCCCCCACTCATCCTCCATCTCCGGCTCTGCTGCTGCTTGGCCAACCAGGGCCACGGCTTGCGAGAGGGCTGGCCCACTCAACGGAGGCTCTGCTGGGCCGCTCCCAGCATGGATCCCAGGGCTTCCCCGAATGGCTCTCCGGCCACATGCACCTCGGACCGGGCCAGCCTCAGAAAGGCCCTTCCTGGCCACCCTTCTCCCAGGGGGCAGGGCACCCAGCTGCAGGGCCAATCAGGAGCTCTGCGAGGGAGCAAATCTGCATATGAGAGAGAGAGAGAGAGAGAGAGAGAAGGGAAGCACAAGTGCCTCTCTGTCTCTGTCTCTCTCTGAAAATGGCGGAGGAGGCTCCAGAGCCGCAGGAGGTGGCTCAAAGAGCCACATGCGGCTCCGGAGCTGCGGGTTGCCGACCCGTGACCTATACTATACTGTGCATTTGGTTTTTCTTGCCTAAATGTAGAACCTTACTTTTTTCACCATTGAATTTCATTTTGTTAGATGATCACAGGAAGCCACAATACTGCAACTCTCATAAATATATACCTGTAGAGAAGGATCCAAATTTTGATCACATGACCTTGGGGATAACACAATGGTCAGAAGTGTGAAAAACAGTCATAAGTCCCTTTTTTCAGGGACTTTGAACAGTCACTAAACAAATGGTTGTTGAGGACTACTTGTAAAGGGCACAATCCAATGCCGGTGTTCTACGGATATAATAAAACAAAAAGAATATAGAGGTAGTCCTTATAACCATTCAGTGACCATTCAAAGTTACAACAGCATTGAAAAAAGTGACTTATGACCCATCCTAAGACTTATAATGATCACAACATTCCCACAGCACATGACCAAAATTTGGGTGCTTGGCAACCAGCATTTATTTATGCTGGTTGCCGTATCAGAGTCGTGTGAATGCCATTTGCAACCTTCCCAGCTGGCTTCTGACAAGCAAAGTCAATGGGGGAAGCCAGATTTGCTTAATGACAATGATTCACTTAATAACTGCAATGATTCGCTTAACCACCATGGCAAAAGGTCATAAAATGGAGTGACTCACTTTACAACTGCCTTGCTTAGCAATGGATATTTTGGGCCCAGTTATGGTTGTAAGTCAGGGACTACCTGTATTCTTCCACCTCACACAATTTACTTGAAGGATGTGCAGTCTTCCAGAACAACTCACGTATGTGTGGTGTGGCAGCTCTCTTCACGTTCCACTGAGACATGTATATCTGTTAGCTGCTAATTACAAACTGCCAATTAGCACAAAAAAGCTAGGAATAATCCACATTAGCAACTGTAGTGTCACAATGCAACATGGTTTAGTACCATTCTGACAGATGTATGCCTCCTTCCTATTTACCAGGGCTAAACGTTACTGAAGAAAGCTGTCTACATAGATTTTCAGAAACAAGGAGTAAACAATTCAATTAATTACAATTGAGGAAGAACCACATCCAACACGGCAAAAATCTTGGGTCAAAATACTACTTTTCCCCTATATTTTTGTGCTTATTTCAGTAACACTTGACACAATATTTTTCAATGTCCTAGCTCAAGTTTTTAAAAAGTTTTAAATTTCAAAACAGATCTAAAGTTGGCTTTGATTCCCGACTGATATTAAGCTAATTCTGTAAATGCTCTAGATTAGTACCTGTTCAAATTCTACTGCTTAAAACATCAAACTAATGGCGGCTCCATCAAAAAATGTGCTAAGAAGTTACCAGTCCCTACATGCAAGCTGTATTATAGATACACCAACAAACCATAAGACAGAGTCTGAATAGAGCAACAGAAAAGCTTTAATAATAGTAGTAGTAAAGTTGGAAGGGACCTTGGAGGTCATCTAGTCCAACCCCCTGCTCAGGCAGCAAACCCTACACCATTTCGGACAAATGGCTGTCCAGTCTCTTCTTAAAAACTTCCAGTGTTGGAGCATTTACTGCTTCTGGAGGCAGGCTGTTTCACTGATTAATTGTTCTCACTGTCAGGAAGTTTCTCCTTAGTTCTAGGTTGCTTCTCTCCTTGATTAGTTTCCACCCGTTGCTTCTTGTCCTGCCTTCAGGTGCTTTGGAAAATAGCTTGATTCCCTCTTCTTTATGGCAGCCCCTGAGATATTGGAATACTTAAAAAATATTGGAAAGATATTTATTAAAAGATATTGGAATATTTAAAAATGGATGGAAACTAATCAAGGAGAAAAGCAACCCAAAACCAAGGAGAAATTTCCTGACAGTTAGAACAATTAATCAGTAGAATAACTTGCCTCCAGAAGTTGTAGGTGTTCCAATACTGGATGTTTTTAAGAGGAGACTGGACAACTACCGTATTTATCTGAAATGATATAAGGTTTTTCCTGCTTGAGCAGTGGGTTGGACTAGAAGACTTCCAAGGTCTCTTCCAATTCTGTTATTGTTAAAAACGTTCTAGAGCACTGGAATATTGAAAACACACTACACCTCTAGAAATCAGTTTTGTTTTTGTTTTTTTTAAGAAAAGAGATCTGCTGGAAGAGGCAAACAAGTTACACACTGCGAGTTTTCTTGCACCATCCTCTGGCACGGTTAAAGGAAAATATGAGAAGAGGCCATTCAGATATCACTTACGGCACAGAAGCCGGTCGGATAACTCTCATCTAGCAGTGGCAAGCTAAAACAAAAAAACAAAAAACCCACAACTGCACGCGCCCAACCATCAGCTGCCGGGCGCAGGGGGATCCGCAGGGAGCAGAATATTTCTCTACAGCAAAATGCAGGCATGCACACGCCTGTTCGGGACTTGGAAGCATTTGCTTATGAAATGCAAATAAGCGGATGGATTGTCTAGGAAAATCGCCAAGCCCTCAAAAAAGAGCCAACCTGACAACATTCCTAAACTAATCTTTTTTTTTTGTCTCCATCTCGGGGACTCCGCGCGTACACGTGTTTACTCGACTTCCCAAGAAAGCCGGCCTGCACGCGGGATGCGCACTCCCCCCCCCCAACCGCGCGGCCGACACTCTCGCGGATCCCTCGCCCCTCCCAAAAGATGCGTGTTCGAGACGACCCTCCCCCCAAACGGGTGGATGGGTGGGGCAGCCGGCACGGCTCCCGGGCTCGTTCACACGTGCACGGGCGTTCCTCCGCTTCCCCCGACGCGGGGCCCTCACCTTGCGCGATGGCGATGGACTCGAAGCGGTGCAACTCCCTCAGCAGGCAGCTCCGCTCCGTCGAGTGCAGGCTGTAGATGAAGTCGCGGGCCCCCTGCGCCGTGTTGAGCGCCTCCATCGGCTCCTTCTTGGGGTGCGTGCCCAGCGGCCGCGGGGAGCCCAAGCAGGAGGCCGCGGGTGGGAGCCACAGTCCGTTTTCGGGCCGGGGGGCGCGGCGGAGGGCGCTCAGGCGCCGGCGGAGGAGAAGCAGGAGGCAGCGGCACCCGCCGAGGCGCGACGCTCGCGCGGAGGAGCCGGCCGAGCCCAAGCTCAACGCCAGCCGGCAGCTCAGCCACGTCGGCGACGACATGCCGCCAGCCAGCCGGCCCGGCTACCGGCGTTGGGAAGGAGAAGGGAGGCAGCGGCGACGCCCGGGCGCGGGGAAGGCGGTGCTCATGAGTCTGTCCCGAGCCTTGCCCCGGCCGCGCCTGCCCGGCAGTGCCGGCGGCTCAGAGCCCGAGGTCGGCTCCGGCCAGCCGCCGCATCAACCCTCAGATAGCAACCGCAGCAGCAACGAACTCCGGCGACCAGCTCCCGCCGCGCCTGTGAAGCGGGATTGAAACGAAGGAAGTGGCAGGCGGACGCCACGCAGGCGCACTGGCCTCATCTTGCCAATGGCCGCGGCCTCGCCCCCCCACGCCTTCCAACCAATGGGAGGAGAGAGAAGCCTTCTCTTTTCCTCTCCGCCTTATTCCCGCTGCTCCTAATTAGATGGGGGGGGGGAAGGACGAGATTCCAGCCACGCCCACCTCCCTGCGGATCGCCGCTGCCCTCGTTGCTCTTTAGTTGATTGTCGTCGTTGGCTGTAAAAATCCGGGTGGCCGCTAAGTGGCAGCCAAAAGCCTCATCTTCTGGCTCAATCTTGGGGTGGGACCAGTCTTTGCAACCCAAATCAGACAACCCTCTCTTGCATGTTTCCTTCTTGGGTTTTGGGGTGTGTAAAGGTTTCGTTCCTGCTGACTTCATGGAAACATCTCTATATTATTTCCTTGGGAGCGGTCCAGATGTTTTGCTAGGAACATAAAGGCAAAGTCTGCCAGTGCAGATTGATTGCTGGTGACTTCACAGATAAGGCCCATGTAGTTGCTGACTACAGAGGCCATGGACATTTCCGCAGTCAGGTGGCCATCATCACAGAGTCCTGTTACCTTCCCACCTAAGTGGTACCTAGTTATCTACTCACATTTCCATGCTTTCAAACGGCTAGGTTGGCAGGAGCAAGTATTGGAGCTTATCCCATCGTGTGGGTGCTGGCTGACAAGCACAGTGTCTTAATTGCTGAGCCACCACATTGCCCACAGGTAGGGAAGTGGTTTGTAATTTCTTCTTTCAGAGTTTTAATCTGGGAATGTACCAAAACAAGGTCTGTCCTTTTTCCTATCTCCTTAGATTTTTTTTTTTTAAAAAAAGATGTTATAAATTAGTATCTTCTTTATACAACTATTTTTTTCTCTGTTACAACCCAAGCTTTGACATGCTTTCTCCAATCAGGTATAGCTAGGCTATACATCTCAGTCAAGCATTTTAACTGGTGTAACATTTCCATCTGCTTCTGTATTAGAAAATTGTTATAGCCATTAGGGCTCTTGGATAATAGTTTTAAAATTCTGGATTTTAAAAGTAATTGATTGTGTATGTAAGAGCCCACCCTGGTGTCGGATATGAGGAAAAGCAGAACAGAAATATTTTATAAATGAATAAGGCATCACTCATCTATTACAGAATCATAGAATCATAGAGTCACAGGGCTGGCAAGGACCTTGGAGGGTCTTCTAGTCCAAACCCCTGTTCAAGGTAGACTTTATTCCATCCCAGACAAATGGCTGTCCAATCTTTTTTTGAAGACCTCCTTTAACGGAGCACCCATCATTCTGCAATCGCGTGTGAAGCTCTGCTCATGCACAAAGCTCCATTTCTGCAAGCGGAGGGTGTATGTGCACTGTTCACACAAATGGAGCTGTGTGCACACAAGTGTGCCTGCCACTTACATGACATAAACACACACACACACACACACACACACCATGCTGGGCTAGGCTGCCAAGCTGGAAAGGTTGGGGACTGCTGCATTATTTCATTGGTCCTCCTTGTCCTGTCTTCTTTTCTACCCACTATGGGTTATATGCAACGATAATTCACATTTGTGTAAACAGAATTTAAAGTAATTTGACAAATACTCCAGGAAGTAATTAACCACATTAGACAGCAATCATTTATTTTCAAAGAATGGATACATTTCAGATTGTAAGAGAAGAACATGGTAGTCTATGGTGGCAAAAACCAAGATTGAGTCTGGTAGCCCCTGAGCAACAATTTGATTGATTGATTCATTGATTCATTCATTCATTTTATACAGCCATCCATCTCAAATATACGACTCTAGGCAGATAACAATATTTAAAAAGGTTCTATTTTATTCTATAATAGATAAAAGCATGTATAAAAACATAAAACATACAGCAGCTGAGAAAAAACTACAAACCTTCACCTTCAAGATAGCCAGGAAATGGGTTCCATCATGCATCCAAAATTCAAGCACAGAGTCACGTTCAAGGCCTTACGGAAGGCCAAAGGGGATGAGGCCAATCTATTGTCCAGAGCAGGGGTAGGCAACCTTGACTCTTTTATGACTCGTGGACTTCAACTCCCAGAATTCCTGAGCCAGCCATGCTGAGGGGAAGAGAGAGTTTCCAAGCTGAGTCATGCTGGCTCAGGAATTCTGGGAGTTGAAGTCCACGAGTCATAAAAGAGCCAAGGTTGCCTACCTCTGGTCCAGAGGAACAAAATTCCAGAGGATGGGCACAACCACAGAAAAGGCTCTGCTCCTGGGCCCTATCAATTGAGACACCTTAGCAGTCGAGACCTTGACCTTATCGTGTGTGCGTGCTGAATATAATGGCCAAGGCTGTTACATTTTGCATCAACTGAAGCTTCCAAATACACTTCACAGACAGACTCATGTAGACTGCATTGTAGTAATACAAGCGGGGTGTGTGTGTGTGTGTGTGTGTGTGACTCAGATATGAGTGTCTGTAATTCAGGCAAATTAAGGGCATAAACTTTCATTGGATCCATTAATCAGAAACATCATTCTTGCATCTGATGAACTGAGTTGCAGCTTTTGAAAGCAGAAGCTTTTTAATTTAAAGTCTTAGCTGGAAAAGAGGCTACCAGATTCCTCCTGATTTCATGAGCAAATGTTTCAGACAGTAAAAGGAGGCTGATTCCATACCTCTGTTGTTTGCTATCCTTGATTCTATCCAAAACAATCATCCAGGCCTTGCCCATCATTTCCACACTTAAGGCTATTGCATAACCTAAATAACTCTGGCAAAGCAAAGCTAGGAATCTACAAAGAAGCAAGGAAAATGAGCAGGGTCTGCAGAGATTCAAAAAGTGTTTAGGACCATTTTGGTTTCTTTGCTTTCATAAAGCAGTTTAGTGATGACTGAGCACGTTCAATAATCACACAAAATCCTTGACTTACAATCATCAGATTAGTGACTGTTCAAAGTCACAACAGCATTGACAAAAGTAACTAATGACTTTTTTCACACTTATAACCGTCAGGGCAACCCCATGGTCACATGATCAAAAATTCAAATGCTTAGTAACTGGTTCATATTTATGACAGTTGGCGTGACCCAGGGTCATGTGATCCTCTATAGCTGGCAAGCAAAGTCAATGGGGAAGCCAGATTCACTTAACCGTGTTACTAATTTAACAACCGCATTAATTCATTTAACAACTGTGACAGGAAAGGTCGTAAAATGGGACAAAACTCATTTTAAGAACTGTCTCACTTAGCAACAGAAATGTTTGGCTCAACTGTAATCATAAGGACTACCTGTAATTATAGCAAACTATCTGATGTTCAGGGAGATATGGATAGAATGTCACCCATGGAATTCCGAATAGAAAATTCTCCTCATGTTGTGACATTTTGTTGCTGGTCCTGTTTATACAATAATATTTTGAATGCACTAGCAGGTCACTGGTGCTTCAGCTAGTCCTTGCTTAATGACCAGTTGCTTAGCAACAGTTCAAAGTTACGATGGACACCAAAAGAACGTATGATTCGGATTTGAACTTCCAACAGCTATCCCATCTCCCACAGTCCTGTGACCATATTTGGAGTATTCAGCAACTGGCCCTCATTTATGGCCATTTGCAGTGTCCCATGATCACATAAAGTGGCAATTCAGGACAGTGTTTACATCCGGTTTCTGGCAAACAATGGGTTGGTTGTGTTTCTGTTGTGACTGTTTCTTTAAAGTTTTGCATCCATTTTATTACGCAATTTTTTATTTGTTCTGTCTCGGTGCCATGTATGAGTAAGAGTTTATATATGTGGATTTTTTAAAAAAGTAGACAAATATAGGATTGCGCTCCCAGCTTCTCGGAGACGCTCTGAAGCACTTAAAATGAGCAAGTGAATAATGCATAGGACATTATCTCTTGTTAGCCTCTGGGAGTTTTTTTTTTAAAAGAATGTAGTCAAATCATTAAAGCAACTGGAAATAAAAATTCCATCAGGAATCCCAGCAAGTACTAGAAAACATATCAATAGCTGGATTGCTTTGCTTAAAAGGTCATTTGTATTTTGTTCAGCGGGACCTGAAATATGAAGAGGTACAAGTTTCCACATTTTCTCTTGGCCAGTTATATATTTCAATTCAATATCCTAGCAGAAATATTCTGAGGGATCCTTGGTGCTCTTTGAGCTTTCTTGCTTTCTTGCAGACATTTCATTACCCTAACTAGGTAACATCATCAGTGCTAGTCAGGAGTGGGGTTTGCTGTCAGTTTATATTCTGGTGTCTTGCCTGTCTGTGTGAGTGGGGGTGGTCTTAGGGATTAGGCCAAATCCAAAAATGCCAGGGAATTTCTAGAAGGCTAGCACTGACAAATCAGCCATGAAGAGACACATAGACATTAACATCTATAGACTGCTCAAAAGAGACAATCAACCAACCCAAAAGAGAAACAGACTCTAGCACAGTGGTTCTCAACCTTTTTAATGCCGCGACCCCCAACCGATCGTAAGTCGAGGACTACCCAACCAGTAGTAAATTGAGGACTTTCCCTGCCCAGGAGCACCGCGCATGCGTGGTGCTGCCCTCTGCACCGGCCAAGGCGTAGCTGGCAAGGGGCAGCAACGGCACAGGGTGACCACTGGCTGAGCCACCAGCTGGCCCAGCCCAAGGGAGGTAAGGCACCCGCTGGGCCCCACGCATGCCAGCAACCCTCCCTGCACCCACCGGCCTCCCACCTCCCACCCCTGGCCCTCTTTTACTTACATTTTTAGTAGTTGCTCAGCAGGGAGGGGTGGAAACTTCCAGACAGCTTGCCTTCGCTGCAGACAACTTGCAGCACCGTTTGCAGAATGGGATTTCTGGTGGGCTCAGCAGGGCAGAGACAGCCTGGACAATTTCTATTGGCTTTTGAAAGCCAATAGAATTAGGCTCTATTCAAGAGAGTCTATTCTATTGGCTTTCAAAAGCCAATAGAATAAAAGGGAGTAGCACAGCTAAGGAAAAGGAGAAAAAAATGGCGGACTGCATTGTTTTGCGACCCCCGTGAAATGGTCGTTCGACCCCAAATGGGG